ATACAAAGATAACCAAGACAGAATCATCTGGAATCTTTATTCAAGAGTTTCTATTTATTTGCATTATTTATTTAGGAAATGTGTCATTCTTTTCTGAACATACTATTAAAAACAAAAATCTACTTTAAAAAATTCCTAGGAAAGTACATAAGGGAAAGGATTTATTTGTCACTCTCCTCGATTTTGTATTATTTACGCCAACTGGCCTAGCTAAAAATTATAATTTGGTATAAAATGTAGTGAATCATTTTAGATACAAAAATCTTGGCAACCAGGACAAGTTTCAACCTAATTACACCTACACACTCTTACTAATCAACTGCTATATTGAAACCGGCTTTCCATCATTAAAATGAAGCTGCATATGCAAAAGACTTTTTTATTTTCCTTTTTATTCCCTCCACTGAGGGCTCCCCAATCTGGTATCATATTTCCTATGCACCCAAACCAATATCAGAATATTCTCCAAAAGAAGTCAGATGCAAATGAGTGCCTACTATATTATTCCATTTGTACAAAGTGTGTAAAAGCAGGAGCAAGCTCATCTGTGCTGTTAGAAGTGAGGATGAGAGTATCTTCCTGGGGGCACTCAGGAGGCTTCTGGAACCCTGGCAAGGTTCTGCGCATGGATCAGGGCGCTGATTACACAGGTGCATTCAGTTTGTAAATCCCAACAATACCCTATACTGAAAATTTGGGTAATAGTTTTTCATTGTTCATACAATTTAGAAGGCATTTAGAGAAGCTAATAGGGTGCTAAGCACTGAACCAGTTACTGTGGAGGTTTCAGATCATGTACAATGCATGTGATCTTTCCTCAGAGAGGTGTCTTCCTATTTGCCCATTGCAATAAGGCAGCTGTGCTATGTGGGAAAAGATGGATCATCAGGGGTTCTGCCACTTCGTGTCCCTCTATCAGTCCAGACTGGTATTCACCTCCCTGAGCCTCAGTTTTCTGAGCTAGATCTGAACTCTACAGCTCTCTGCTCTATCATTTTCTTCTGGTCAAATAGTCATAGTTGCCATTTTCTTCTTTTGTTCTAAAGAAGCTTTTCTGGCACACAGAATATCACATTAGGTTGATACTAGAAATGAAAATGATTATATCGTAACAAATCCATGTAACTCTTTACCTAAAGTCAGGGCAGCATGGCTGAAAAAGCCTAGGACCAGGCACCCCTGACTCCTGGTTTCTGTTTGGTGCCCAGTCACTACTTGCTGCGTGGCCTTAGGCAAAGCCCTTCATTTTTCTGGGCCTCGGTTTTGTCATTTGTAAGTCAAGGGGGCTGGACTGGATGATCCCCTCCCCTGCCCCACAGCCTTTCAGATCTAAGTCTCTTTTTCTTTTTTCTTTGTTACATGGATGAATTGTGTCATGCTCAAGTCAGGATTCTCAGTGTACTTGTCACCAGAATAGTGTACATTGTACCCAATAGGTAGATTTTTATTCTTCACCCCCTCTCCCACCTTCCCTCCTTTTAGTTTTTGATGTCCAGCACACCACTTTATGATCATATATATCTCTGATTTAGCTTCCACTTACAAGTGAGAACGTGTGCTATTTGTTTTTCCATTCCTGAGATACTTCACTTAGGATAATAGTCTCCAGTTCCATACAAGTTGCAGCAAAAGACATTACTTCATTCCCTTTTATGGCCGAGTAGTACTCCATGCTGTGTGTAGATAGATAGATAGATAGATATTTTTCCTTATCCACTCATCCTTATCTACATTTTCCTTATCCATTCCTCAGGTCTAAATTTCTGTTTCTGAGTTAAGTAATTAAAAAAAAAAAGTTGTTAAGAGGTAACAGGACCAAGACTCAGGTTTTCTGGCTGAAGCCCAGATTTCTTTCTACAGATAGGTATGTTAAAAAGCAGATTTAAAAATTATTGTTACCCAGCATGTGCTGGACACTACCCTGTAAGGCAGATAAGTTATTTCTACTTTTTAGATAAGAAACTGATCATCAGAAAGTGAAAAGACTTGCCCCAGTTCATCTGCCTGGTGGATGCCAAAAGCCGGATCAAAAACTTGGTCCTCCTGACTCCAGACTTTCCCTCTCCCGACAGGGGCTTGTAGCACATCCAAAAATCAACAAATATGCCTAAAATAATTCCAATCCCAAGGCAAAAATAGTCTTTCTTTTTCTAGTTTCCTCTAGTTGAAAAAGAAAAACAAGAATCGGGAGTTTCATGTAAAAGGATAAAACTTCATGTCATTTGTCAAAATTATAAAACTATATGTAGTCTGTATAAGGCCTCCCAACAGCTCCAAAGTCCCAGCATGTTTTCATACTTGATGTACATGTCTTCATTTGTACCGCACTTCACAATTTATAATTCCGAGATAGCAATTCTTTGGGATATAAAAGACCTCATGCGTATAGAGTCAAAGATGTACAGGGACTTAAAAAATTAAAAATTACTGCTAAGTTAGAAAGGCTTACTATCCACGATCAGGTGTCATGTATCGTATGTGGGAATTGCCTCCATGAAAACAACTCCAGGATGCAAAGGAAAAGAACTTTGGTGTGAGGTGCCATGAAAAACGCTCTTAGCAAGCTTAGAAATATTTTTAATGTTGTTTGAAACTGGCTGATGATTGTTTTAGAACAAGTCTCCTGTCACGGCCTGACACTTGATCTGCAGAATTCCTTAGAAGACACTGGGCCAGGCAGGCAGTCATATATCATATGCCCGACAAAGACACAAAACATCCTGGACATTGCCACAACTCTCAAGGAGTTGTTAGAGTGGCGAAAGGTCACTTAAGTACTTCTAAAAATACGATGGTATAACCTTCCTGGGCTTGTTTCCTTTAGACTCCAGACCATCAATTAATAGGCAAGAAACAGCTATTATAAAAGTTTGCTTCGAGAAGAATTCACAATATTTAGTCAGTCCTTATTGTGTGGTTCTTGCATGCTGAATCTCCCATTCAATTTCTGTTCCCAAATTCTACCCTAAACTGAACACTGAGGTTTGGGGTTAACACTTTATATAATGGGACTATTTTCTAAATCAGGCGTTATGACCCTGCATATTTGTTTTTTCCTGTAGTTGTAAAGTCACGGTATGTTCCCACTAGAGTTGTGTTCTCAAGTATCCTCGCCCCTGCCCTGGCCCAGTATGGTGACCTTACTAAGTGCAAGAATAACGTCTCTTGGAAACTTTGCGTCCAATAGCACTTTCTAGTGTTCCACGTATCATTTATTAAACATTTTTAGAATCTATTATGCCAGAGGCTAGGAGTTACAGATACAGCATTCAACAAGCTGGACATAGTCCTGTCCCCACAGAACTGACCACTAAAATAGATACAGACATGAACCCTGCAAATCCCAGATGGGAGGGAAATAGAAGTTCCTGCAGAAGAGAAATATTCCCCCATAAACAGGAACTTAAATTCTACCCGATTCTCTTTATCTCTTATCAGCATGTGCAGTTCACACTTTATTTGGGGTCCTTGTGGAGGAAGGGGACAGAAGGAGGCTCCACTGCCCACTCATCTGCAAGTCTGCATTGAGGGAACATTCACCATGCGGTGACTCTGATGTATGTTGCAAATAGTAGTGGCATACCCTGAGCCAGGCACTGTCCTAAGCCATTTACAAATATCTGTGAATTTTTTAATTTCATTCTTACAACCTCTCTATGAAACAGTATACAGTATTATCCCTATTCTACAGATGCGGAAACTGAAGCATAGAGAGGCTGAGTAACTTGCCCAGGTCCACACAGCTACTAACTTAGGAGCAGCAGTTGGACCCAGACAGCCTTGCTCGAGCCTGTGCTCTCAGGCCCTGCCCCCGATGTCTCCCTAGCACAGCACACTGCACATGGATGCGCGCACACTATGCCTCCCTTTGCTCCAGGAGCCCCCACTCTACTGGCAAAAGTAGGCATGAACACCTAACCAGAGTATACAGGCCATACTGGAAATGTGAATCCCATGACTGTAACTCAAAAAACAAACTTGAGAAGATATAGTCCACAACATGTATACAAAACAGAATATATTCTCCATAAGAGAAATGGCTACCACATACCAAGTGCCCCCAAGTACCTGACACTTCATTTAAATCCCCTCATCACCCGCTCTTATTAAATAACAACCATGCAAGGGAGACAGTATGGCCTCATCTTATGCAGGAGGAAACTGAAGCTAAAAGAAATTTTGTGACCAGGTGTCACACAATTGTGTGACCATTGTGAAATTGTGTGACCATTGTGAAATTGTGTGACCACAGCTGACATTCTTTCCCTGTTCATCGAGTCCTCCTTCAAGTACAGTGCTTTGTCCTTACTCCTAAAAGTCACACTGCTTTCAGGTAACATCCTAAGGTCTCTTTGATGTAGAGAGTAAGGGGAAGTGTTCCGGGTCTGGCAGTTACTAAATTCACTCCCAAAGTCTGCAACAGGAAGCTGGTGCAAACGCACCAAAACATAGTGTTCACAGCTGCCTGATTGCTCAAAGCGAGACCTTGAGCTTCAGGCTACACCATCTGAGGCTGAAAGAAGCACTAAAGAAGGCCTGCAAGGCGGAAGGGCGCCAAATTCATGCCAGAGGCCAGGGTGATCTTGGGTAAAGGAGTTCAAAGAGCTTTGCAAATCTCCTAGGGGGGGGGGGAGAGGAAAGAGAGGGAAGGGAAGAAGAGCGGAGGGAAAAGGGGAGGAGGCAGAGGGGGAGGGGGAGGGGATCCTCTATCAATATCTTCCTCCAACAGCAAAAGTTGCCTAACTTATCCTGACCAACCCAACCTCCACTTTTGGGTACAAAGTATCCTGGAAAAGAAAAGAGAAGTTTGGAGTAAGGATTTGTATATTAGGAGAGGAAGAGAGGTACGTTTTAGCCCTGAAGTATGATATATATTGCTTCAAAGAATAGGAAAAAGATGAAAATTATCACTCTGTTTTTAAACATATACTAACTAGAGCTTTATAATAACAGCTTCTTCCCTCCTCCTCCATCCCCCAGCCACGTGGAAAAATACTATTTATAGTGATTAAATCCACAGTCATAGAACCTGAAGATGGGTTTTATATCAGTTTTTACTTTTTGTAGGGGGCAGGAAGGGGTAAGTTATTAGACTTTCCAAAGTGTAAGAAAAGAACGTGGCAAATAAAGCTGACAGCATTTGGCTACCAGCAGCAGCAGTGACTCAAAGGAGAGCTTCGGAAAGGAAGGGACGTGGGTGAGTCAACCAACCAGTGGCTTTCGTGAAAACCAGAGGGAAGCGAACCCCATCCCTCCTTCGGGATGGATGCAGACAGCGTGCGGAGCCTCCTGGCAGCCTGCTTTCCTCCCGGGCTGCTGGGTGCATTAGGTAAATATAAACCTCTCCGAATAACCCCCAAGATATGAGAAAGGGAAAGCAGAGCGAGCTGGAGGAGTCATCAGACGATATATTTAGGAGGGCTTATTTCGCAAGCTAGAATTACGGAACATCAAGATGCGGTCAATTAAACATTCTTCAGGATGGGTTTTTCTGATGGGGGTAGGTGGCCGGAGGAAGCTGTAATCCACGACAAAGAACCAGACAGACGGGACCACCAGTCTGCAAAGACCAGGTGCTGATTTTTATGAACTCACCTCAACAGCCAGTTTCTATATCAAGGCTACTTCAAGATTTCAACAAAAGGAAGTGGTTTACGAAAGAATTACCAAGAACACAGAAATGTTGAATGGGCCTGGGGAGGGGGGTGCTCTAAGAGGAAAAGGTTGCTCTGTGTACTATTTAGGCTACGCATGTTTTTCACATAAGGTGCCCTAGCAGCAGGTAAGACCTTTAAAAACAGACACTGCTGCAAAATGCCTACACCCACAGAGTTCTTTATGGCCTGTGAGGAACTGTCATGTCTCATAGACTGGAGCCTCACAGTTAACTCCTTAGGTGGTGCGAGAATTATACTCATTTTACAGACGAGGAAACTGAGGCTCAGGAAGGTTAAAGATATTGATATGGTCACACAGCTAAGGGAGCAGGAATGAGATGTGAACCCAGTCTGAACCCAAAGCTCATGCTTTTTTATTCCCCAGCCAGAGGTAGGAAACCTGAGGCCACGTGTGACCTTCTGGATCCTTGAGTGCTGCCTTTGGACTGAATCCAAACTTCGCAGAACAAATCCTTTTAAGGTTTGGTGTGTGAAGTTTGGATTTGGGTCAAGGGGCTGCACTTGGGGATCTGGAGGGCCATAGGTGGCCTTGAGGCCACAGGTTCCCCACCCCTGCTAGGCTGTGTATCTCAAAAAATAAAACCTGAGCTCAGAGATGTTAAAGAATTGAAATGATGTCAGCTTTCTTGATGCTCTGTCAAACCTGTCTCCTAATACACCTCAACTCTTAGTTACTACAGGTTTATTCACCTGCTCTAGGCACTTCTCATTTCTTTGCAGCTCAAAATATTCTCATCATCCACATGGAACTTTCCTGAAGACTCCATACACATTGCCTCGCCCTTTCAGGCAATGACTGAATCACTTTCCACATCCTGTCTTGTTTTGCTAGGTAATCTTTCTTCTGGGTATGACTTGCACACTTGCGGCTGGAGGAACCATACCGGCATTCCTTTTTTGCAAGCACCTGCCTTTTCCCCTGCAGTGCTGGACACTGTGCCTGATACTAAATGCAAATTGCATTGCAAAGAATCAGTTATTCTCTAGCCTATTCTATTCCTCTAGGATAAATTTCTTCTTGGTATTAAATAATTTGGGCACTGCAATAATTTGTTAGATATGATATAGGAAATTTATCAATTTCAAAAATATGTTTCAGTTACATGAGGTTCACATTACTGACTTTGTTTCAATCAAATATTTAATTTAATTTAATCTGCTATTTTACCAGTCTTCCCCTCTCTCTCAGGGGGAAGAGTGGAAATACAGTGATAGCAAAATAATAATAGCTAATATTTATGCAATATTTATCATGTGCCAGACATAAGCTAAATTACTTGCATTTATTATTAATATTTCATTCAATCTTCATAATCTTTCTCCTCAGAGGAGGAAACTGAGACACAGGGAAATAAAACAACTTTCCAAAGATCACACCACTAGTAGGTGGTGGACTTAAATCCACCCAGAGACCACATTTTAAATAAGTCACTTGGTGCAATTACAAAAGCAATTATTCTATGGTCTGTTTTTCCCCCCTAATGGTTATGGAGATGTATGCAATTTGCTTGATTTTTCTACTTTAATCCTCACAAAAACACTGAGAGATTTGTAATATTGTTCTTCTGGCTCCAGTATTTATTAAGCTCTGTAACTTACTATTACTTAAAAGCGAGGTTTTCTGCCTCAGTCTCCTTCTCTCTAAAATGAGAACATGGATAGTTATTGTGAGGATTAAACTACTTTATGGGTGAAAACACTTGGAATGGTGCCTGGCACAAGGCTGGGTTCTGCTAGTGGAAACTGTTGTCACTGTCACTATTGCTCCTGACCTGCCTTCCCCAGCAGGGTCAAAAACCTGCATGATAGGCATTTACATATTACCATACTAACGCTATCAATGTCTTCCTAGTGTTCAGGTTGTGCTTTAAAACAAATTGGTTTAGGCCGGGCGCGGTGGCTCACGCCTGTAATCCTAGCTCTCTGGGAGGCCGAGGCGGGCGGATTGCTCAAGGTCGGGAGTTCAAAACCAGCCTGAGCAAGAGCGAGACCCTGTCTCTACTATAAATAGAAAGAAACTAATTGGCCAACTAATATATATAGAAAAAATTAGCCGGGCATTGTGGCACATGCCTGTAGTCCCAGCTACTTGGGAGGCTGAGACAGAAGGATCACTTGAGCCCAGGAGTTTGAGGTTGCTGTGAGCTAGGCTGACGCCACGGCACTCACTCTAGCCTAGGCAACAAAGCAAGACTCTGTCTCAAAAAAAAAAACAAAAAAAAAAAAACAAATTGGTTTGGCAGATGTACAAGAAATATGCTTAAATGAAAATCTGCGTCTTTATAATTGTACCTAGAACAGTGACTGGCACCTTATTAGGTCATCAAATATTTGATGATAACTGTATGAATAAATAAATGGGCAGCCAAATGAAGGAATAAATAATCAAAAGTTCAAACAAGAAAGTGAATGACTGGTAAACAAAATTATGAAATTTAAATTGATCTGCAGAACCTGGGAATAATGAATCCAAAAGGAATAAAACATAAAGCATGTATTGTTTTATTTTCCAAGATTATATTTCAGTATTTCACTTAATTCACGGCAAACCATGTCTTTATTAAAAGGTGATTAATATTTTCCAAAAATAAGTAGTACAAAGTCACATAAAAAACAAAGTCGTCATCATCTAATTATAAGAGAACCTCATTGAGTTCTCATTCAAAATTGAGGAAGTCGGTCTATGGTCAAGTTTTTATTTCATCCTCAATTTCCCACGCTTTTCAAAGAGACACATTACAACTCTTTGCAAGGAAGTATTGTGATTATGAAAATAGATGTCCAAATACCTAAGCTAAATAAATATTTACATTCTGCCTTTTGAGTTAAACAATTGACTTTGTTCTTTAGCATTTAGGTCAAAATATTTAAATGTTTTAAAACATCAATAATAAGAGGATATGTTTTTTACCATATCCTCTGTAAACCTGTAGTCTAAACTTACAGGTTTTAGCAAAACCTTCACAAGAAGGAACTGGGCAATTAAAAGATGTTAATGCATACACACTCTGAAAATAAGAAAAAAAAAGTGAGGGGTGTTGGCCACTTATTCTTTTTAGCACAAAAACACCTCTCTTCCACTTCCCTATGTTTATGTCCCTATGTTTATGCTTTGGTGAGCACTTACATCCACTTACATCATTATAACAATAACCTCAATTTGCTAACTTTATGTAAGATTTACTTCAAAGGAATTCTTGGAGCTTGGCATACATTAGTTTATTCATTTTTGTAGCATCTTTATACATAGGCATATGCCTAGCATCTTATCGTTATAATACAAAATTAAAAACGGATGTACTAGGAGATGAATCTACTTGCCTAAAGTTGATAAAAATCACTTAATTATTATTAGCTTATGAAACTTGACTTCGAAGTCATGTCTTCTCTTAGTACAGTAGAGTTTTTTCCCACTACATTGATTTCTTTTGCATAAATTTAAAAAGTCACAGTGGACAGCTGGGCAGGAAGGACTGACTACCTGGGCAAACTCCAAGATTTTTCGAGGTTGGGTTAACCTGACCCAGCAGTAGCTCTAAGACTTGGGAGAAAAGGAATCCAAGCTGAAAGAACTATGCATGTATTTTGACATTCCATAGGTAATGTGTAAATTACTGTTAACAGGTCAGTAAGTGAAATTGGGTAAGAAAAGATATGAAACATAAGTGTTTCATAATAAACTTCTTTCCTTATTAGCTTCGCTGGAAACTCCCACTCTGCCCCTGAGCTGTGTGTTCAAGCCTTGGAGCAAACCCTCCATCTGAACTCTCCCCCGTGTTGTTTGGACTGCCCATGTAGGTGCTGGAGATGAGGTGGCTTTGTGTGAGGAGACTGCAGATGTGTGGCAGGTATGTCCAGTTGCACTGAACTGACCATATTTATGACACTGCAATTGCACCTTCTTCAGGAATGAAGCCTTTCAAAGGCCCTTTGCTGCAAAAACCACAAGGAGGCATTTGGATTCCCACAGTCAACTCTCCAACCTGACTTGAGCTGCCAAGACTGAGTCACTTTCTTTCCACCACGGGTCATATTACTGCTGGCAGGTTCCACCTGTTTTAATATTTGGTTGATGACAAAAGTGACCACTGAGAGCTGAGTGACAGTGGCAGCTGAGTGGCCTCTCCAATTGTAGGAGGGACCAAGATAACCAGTTCCCTGCAAGAGGGATCATGAATACGACGAGGCCAAAAGAGGGTGTTCCAACAGATGCCTTTGTCCAGAGATCTCTCTTGGGGTTAACCGGTGTTGGGTGAGCGATCAGTTTAAACAGTAGCTGGAGAGGGACTACGCTTACAGTGCAGCAGAGAGAACGCAGGTCTGGTCTGAAAACTTCTGGACATGTTAAAGCTAAGAGAAGAAGAGAAAGAACAGACTCCACAGATCTCTAAAGTAGACACCTGGAGGTGATAGTTGTTATGAGCCTTTCTAATTCTAAAATTCTTTGGAAAGAAAAAGGCTTCGGCCAAATGAGGCAGCTCTGAGAGGAGACAAAATCCTTCTCTGCCATTCTTGGAAGACCCTTCCCTTAAGTCCTCTCATCCCTGTCCCCATCCAGGACACCTAGCCATCGCCCATTTGTGAATTAATTGCTATATTCCTGAATATGCTGCTAGAAACCAATGTCTCCAGCACAACTTTTCATCCCACTCGACTTCTCGAAAGCATCACCCCTTTCCTACCATCTCTCATCCGTGGATGAAGTGAGGGCCCTGCTTAATTAATAACTATTTAAGCAATGGATGGAGTTCTATCAGTTTTCCTCTATCTTAACCTTGCAAATCAAAGAAACAGGTGTCAGCTCTCATAGAAACAGGGAACAATGTCAGGGTGTGGTAGAGTCAGCAGGTACTTAAAGAGAAGCTCAAAGGACCTGGGGTTTTATTTCATCTTTGCCACCTGCTATCTGTGTGGCCTTGTGTCACTAACTCCAGGGCTCTCTGGCTGCTTTCTCCCTCAGAAAACCTGCTTGATGTTCTAGAGAACAAGGAATGTGGTACTTGGCAGACAGCCTCTCTCCTCCTGTATCTGGAAGGTGTCAATAATCGACATTTCCACTGGTCACTCAGGTTAAAACTTTCCTGTCACCCCCTAAAGATACTTCTGGAATTTGTATGTTCTGATCTTTACAACCCCAGAGAAAAACCGTGAGATGATCAAGGCCATCAAGTTCAACCCTCAATTAGTTTAGTCGGCTCCTTATAAGGGCCTACATGATGTTAACATTATTCATATCTCTCTCTCTGAAATCTAGGCACTCACTAAAAATAATTCACTTTATAGAATAAGAGTAATTCTATGATTGAAAGGCATTTCAATTTAGGAATTGTCAGTGAATTCAGTTAAAATATAGACTTGGGGTAACTGCATAGCATATAAGTCTATGTCTGAATAATCTGTGATTTTCTTGATGCCTTTCTTCAACTGCAATAAGCACTGATATTTACATGATATTAAAACATCTAGGCCATGCGCACTGGCTCACGCCTGTAATCCTAGCACTCTGGGAGGCTGAGGCAGGCAGGTCATTTGAGCTCAGGAGTTCAAGACCAACCTTAGAAAGAGCGAGACCCCATCTGTACTAAAAAAAATAGAAAGAAATAAGCTAGACAACTAAAAGTATATATATATAAAAAAATTAGCCGGGCATGATGGCACATGCCTGTAGTCCTAGCTACTTGGGAGGCTGAGGCAGCAGGATTGCTTGAGCCCAGGAGTTTGAGGTTGCTGTGAGCTAGGCTGACGCCATGGTACTCTAGCCCAGGCAACACAGTGAGACTCTGTCTCAAAAAAAAAAAAAAAAAAAAAAAAAAATCTATAATTAAACCAGAACATCAAGTGCCGCCACAATTCAGCCTTTCTCTCATGGAAGAAGGTGTTATAGCTTGGTTTTCATTAGATGATATTTATGATCTTTTTTAATAATCATTAAGTCTTATATTATTACGGAATTTTTGTCTTCAATGAATCTTTGAGATTATGACAAGTAGCAAGCAAGGAAGGAAGCACGTATCGATTTATCTTCCTTGGCACAGGAAATGAAAGAGTTTAGCATAAATCACAAATATAGGTTTCTGAGGTAAAAAGAGAGAGCAGAATTCCTGAATCCCAGGCGTGGAATCCCACTGCTTTTACTGTGACACACACATGTCCAAGGGGCTCTAGCGGCCTCTTCCCCACACGTCACAAGAATCAGGCACTGGAGAGATCACAGTGTTCCTCGGCTCCCTTATGTTTTGCAGGGAACACTCGAGGCCCACAGAACATTTGCAATTTGTCCGAGACCAGAGAGAGAGAATAAGGACCTCGGCCGCCTTCCTACCTGCGCAACAGGGCCCTCCCCAGATGCCGCGCTGCTCAGTTCCACGCTGCCCCACGGAGCAAGCGGACTGGACGCACTGGCTCATTCAGCACAAACGTGCCAGGAACCTACCTACCATGCTAAGCCCTGGATACAAGGCAAATGCTCTTCTGCTAAAAAATGTGAGGTCCCTTCCTCCCCTCTAAAGGAAGAACGAAAGACCAAAAGTCAAAATGAACAGGTTAGTGGGGGAGGACGAGCCTTAGCACAGGCTCTAAGATTGGTCGCATAGCCTGACTCTACCCTTCACTGACTGAGTGACCTTGGGCCTGTGTGTTTTCGTGCATGAAACTGTGGAAAATACTCAGAGGTGGATTAAATGAGATAGTGTATTTAAAAAAAAAAATAGCACACACAGCATCTGAACATAGTCATGGGCTCAATAATGGTAACAATTACCCCTTCTACTGACCGAATTGGGGCTGATAGTGGGAGAAGGACTTAAGTCCCTTTTCTGTCATTCTCCTGTTAGATGGCCTCACAGTACTCACCTTCCTGCCATCTGTACCTCATGAAGAGGAAGAGTTATAGGTGAGTTTCAAGGGGCCTTGCAGTGCCTCACTTAGTCTGTCTGCAGCAGGGCTTCTTAACTCTCAATATATCTCTCTCAATCTCTCTTTCTCCTCTCTCTCAGTTTCTTAGGCTGACTTTATTAAATTCCTTGGAGTGAGTGAGTCATCCACTAGTCCAAACTTGTACACATTCCTGCAAGACATAATTCCAAACCTTTGCCTAATAAGTTTGTAGTTTAATGGTAAAGCTATCAGACTAAGATGAAAATTGCTAAGGCAAAAAACAAAAAGCAGAAGTGATATGAGGGCTTTCCCAGATCCTTCTGTCTATTGTATTTACAGTTCATTTAATCCACAGCAAGGGTTGGGGCATCACATGAAAAGCAACATGGGATCCCTATCCTCACAAGCGCTCCTGGAAGACAGAGTATAAACACTGGTAAACACCAAGCAATGAACATGGAAACACAAAGGTAGGCAGGGCTATATAAAGACATGCACGTCGGTGCCCAGCAGGGAGAACGTCTGTAAGACACAGGGCTTAGCAAGAACGGCCGTCAGGAGTGGAGCTAGACAGCACCTGTTTGGAAAGGCTTCAAGACAAGAGTTCTGAAGGGCAGTGGGCAAGGAGCAGAGAGAAGATTTCAGAGTTGACAAGAGACAGCAAAGCAGGAATGCCAGGAGATAACAGGGAAAGCGACCCCTGGGAGCAGAGAGCAAAACCAAGGGGATTTGCAAGTTCCTCCAGAACACTGTGGCATCCACACAGTCAAAGGGAACCAAGGTCCTAAATAAATCCAGTTAGAAGGCAGGTGTGAATTGTGTCACCCTCTCTCCCTGATACACATTTGACTGTGTTAATCAGGGAATGAATCAGCTTTCTGCTCAGGGTTATCACAAATGGGAATGGGAATGCCCAAAAACCAAAGCCAAACACATAGCCTCAAAAATCTAGAAGGGAATTATTGGCCTCATATAGATCACTGAAAGGTAGAGACATCAAGGGATAATGACAGAACTTTGTAAAAAAAAAAAAAAAAACTATTAAAAAGCAAAAGAAGAGGACCTAGAGAACTATAGAAATACCTATTTTTTTAAAATCAAATTTTTCTAAATGCTTTTGTTACCATGTCTTGCCACATACGATTGCAAGTTTTGAATGACTAGAAAGTTCATATTTTTGCTTTTTTGTACACCGATGTCTAACACAACGGCGTCATGTTGTCAGTGGATACTTTTATAAATACTTGTTGACTAAGCCGGTCATGCATCTTACTCAGGTCATGAGACTCACACACGTATCCCTTTCAAGAAACCTTGATTCGCCCCTCTACAAAGTCCCAGCAGGCCACATGGGTGACAATTTATTTAGCGAAATAATAATTCTCATCTAGCAAGCTCATTTCATGTGACAGGCACTATTCTAGTACTTTACTCATCATTTCCAACCCTTGCTGATTACGGAATCCCACCCTATGACAAAGCAGACGTCGCCACAGATGAGAAACCGGGCTTAGAGAAGAGAAGCAATTTTCTCAAGGCACCTAATTAATAAGACAGTGAGAGGGGACCACAGTCCGGCCCTATCTAACGTCCCACAACCTCAGTGTGGAGTCTTGCTCAAGAATCAGCCATAATTATATGAAGACTCTCTTAAGCCTATACCTCAAATTTTAAAAGAAAGAAAGAGAGGGAGGGAGAGAGAGAAGGAAGGACAGAGGAAAAGAAACTATGTTTATAGACCTCTACGCTAGTTCTTCAAATGAAAAATTAAGCGTCTGGTAAATAAACGCCAAAAGTCACCACACAAGACTGAAACCAGACTCTGAAGCTAGCTTAGAGCCCTTTTTCTCCATTTCCTAACAAGCAGTGAGTGCTCAGATGCAGGTCAGATTTCTCTGGGTTCCCCCACGCACCTCCATTCAGGAGCCAGAAACTATGCTATGGGGATTTAAACCCAACCAGATTGGAAGTCATTGCAACACGGGGTCTCACTTCACTGCCATGGATAGCCAAAGGAAATCTTACTAGTCAAGATAATCTCATAGGAACAATCCGCAGTGTCCCGCAAACACTTGCCGCACATGGGCCTCTCCCTGCCCGCCTGCAGCCCGGCTCGCTTCCAGCGGGAAAGACTGCGGCTGGCCGGGAACCAGCGCACTTCGGCACCAGCCTCAGCTCCCACGGCACACTGGCTCCGTGTTCCTCGGGAGGGTGCCCTGGCTGGGCCACAGGAATAACATCAGCCTCTGCAGGAGCAACAGGGAAAGGCCAGTTGTGCTCCTGTTGTTGTTTCTGGACTGGGTAGCGGGTCTGGGCCTCGGGAAACATGAGGCCGAGCCTGAAAGAGGCCCTTGTTGAAACGGAGCCGCTGCTTTTCTTTCCTTCCTGGGGGTCACCTCCAGCACCCAACTCCTCTTTTTATCTGAATCCCAGGAAAATGACAACTACAGCCTGAGAGTCCACTGAGCAACGCTGCCATGGAGGTGTGATGTTTTCAGCTGAATTCGATGCTCAGAGCAACGCCCAAGGGGGGAGTTAAATAAGAAAGTTAAATATGGAAAGGGGCACTACAGAAACGCCACTGTGATGTAAAGCAACCTAAGAGACAGATCGGGAGATACAGCTCAACCTAGACAAAACCAAAGCAATGTTGATCACGACAGAAAGACGTTGGCATCCTCACGCGTTTCTTCCCTCTTGGGATATTGGAGTGGATTGCACTTTACATGCTAGAGGATGTCATTTTAATTGTATAAAATGAAGCCCTTTATAAAGTCAATTCTTTGCAATTCTTTTAAGTTAGAGGAAAAAGTTTATAACCCATACTAGTTGGCTAGTTACTTTATTAATATGTCCAGATGCTGACAAGAGTTGTCCAACCAAAAGACGACTTTCACATTTTCTTTTACAAAAGACAAGGATCCCATGTTGTTTGACCTTTCCTTCCTGCGAGGCCTAGTGGTTGCCAGGATTATGCAGATATTTTCAGAAAAATAAATATGCTTAATATGTTTGTCTCTTCAAGGTAAAGATGACATTTCAACGGTCAGTAAGAAAGTAACTGCTTTTCTAAATCCACTTGCTGTTTTGCAGATGGGTGTGGTGGGCTGCCTCGGGGGTCACGCACAGGCCCCTCTTCCTGGTGTCCGTGCCTTTGTGTGATACCCTCCCCTTGAGTATGGGCTGAACCCAGTCACTCTCTAACAAATAGGGGATGGGAAAGGTTACTTTGGAGATTATGTTACAAAAAGGCTCTGACTGCCATCTTATTTACCCTGTCTTACTCTCCATTTTTGGAGAAGCCCATGGCAAGGAACTACTGCCTCTGACCAACAGCCCGTGAGGACCAGAGGCATGGCACCGGCTCGTGTGTGGAGCTGGAAGCAGAGCCTGCCCAGTGTGGAAGCCCAGCCAGCACCTCGACTGCAGCTTTGCGAGAGACTCAGCCAAAATAAGATGCCTAGACACTCCTAGAACCCTGATCCACAGAAACTATGAGATAATAAATGTCTGGTTTTCAGACACTAATTTTGAGGATAATTTCTCAACTCATATAAGTGGGGAAATGTTTCCCCATCATTGATAACTGAAAATAATGTGAATGCATCTCATTCAAAACAGCCTGTAGTCCCATCTACTTGGGAGGCTGAGGCAGGAGGAACGCTTGAGCCCAGGAGTTTGAGGTTGCTGTGAGATACAATGATGCCACAGCACTCTAGCCCAGGTGACAGAGCGAGACTTGGTCTGAAAAAGAAAAAAGATTAGAAACAAAATTTCCCAGCCTATTTTAAAATATTCCAGATGAAAACTATCTCTGAGTTTGAACTAGTTGCTAAAAATATTATATAAAAAATACAACATCTTCCAAAGAGTTTACAAGATGACATCTAGGAAAGACAGGATGACTAGCTGACATCAGGAAAGATGGAAAGTTATTAACTAAATTTCAAGGTTTCAAATTTCAAAAACCTGAGTACAGTGCTTGAGATTTCAAACAAATGGCATCAAGATTCAGTTAGCTCTGCCACCAAACACTTCTTCCATTGGAATTTTTATGTCTTTGTGAAATATCTTGATATGTTTAAAACTAGAAATCAAAATAAACTACACTTAGAATCAATCCTTTAAATTACCTTATCACGGCCAGGTGTGGTGGCTCACGCCTGTAATCCTAGCACTCTGGGAGGCCCAGGGAGGCGGATTGCTCGAGGTCAGGAGTTTGAAACCAGCCTGAGCAAGAGCAAGACCCCCATCTCTACTACAAATAGAAATAAATTAATTGGCCAACTAATATATATAAAAAAAATCAGCCAGGCATGGTGGCGCATGCCTGTAGTCTCAGCTACTCGGGAGGCTGAGGCAGGAGGATTCCTTGAGCCCAGGAGTTTGAGGTTGCTGTGAGCTAGGCTGACACCACGGCACTCACTCTAGCCTGGGCAACAAAGTGAGACTCTGTCTCAAAAATAAATAAATAAATAAAATAAATTACCTTATCACAAAGTATTAAAGTTTTCAAAACTATATACACATTTTCAAACACACATTGCTCAGTCTAATGTTTCAGAAAATTTTTTGTGAGAGCAAAAGTAAAAGGTATATCTTTAAATATTGTCTATTTCATCTCATCTGTGTATTTCATAAGAAATATAATTAACTAATCTGATAGCACATGTGTATAAATAAATACATACCCATATAAATAATGAAATAACTACGTATTTGAAGAGCACAAGCTCAAGTTATTTTTACTGCTATGTGTATGTAGTTGAAAGAGTTTATATATTGGCCAGGCGTGGTGGCTCATGCCTGTAATTCTAGCACTATGGGAGGCCGAGGTGGGGAGATCGTTTGAGCTCAGGAGTTTGAGACCAGCCTGACCAAGAGCGAGACCCCATCTCTACTAAAAATAGAAAGAAATTAATTGGCCAACTATAAATATATATATAGAAAAAATTAGCCGGGCATGGTGGCGCATGCCTATAGTCCCAGGTACTTGGGAGGCTGAGGCAGGAGGATCGCTTGAGCCCAGGAGTTTGAGGTTGCTGTGAGCTAGGCTGATGCCACGGCACTCTAGCCCGGGCAACAGAGTGAGACTTTGTCTCAAAAAAAAAAAAAATGGAAAGAGTTTATATAGCCCTGGCCTCCCAGAGTCCAAAGGCTTTCCCTTGGTTTGCACAACCTGTCTTTCCAGTCCTGCACTTGGAGCCGCTTGCAGTTCTCAGGACACCCTTGACTGAGCTTAGAAGCAGATCCTCCCCCTGAAGTCCTTTCCTACACCACTGCCGCTATCCGCTATCCGCCAGGCCAGGCCCAGGGCCACTGAAGCATTCCTCCTCACATTTCAATGCCCAGCTTATTTGTGAACCATCTCATGACATTTCCTCCTCCTTCCCCGCCCTTGACCTCTTAATGCTCTTGAAGTTCCTTCCTAATCCTTTATTACAGAACTTACCATGCTAGGTCAGGTTTTAAGTATTTGCTTTTATTCCATCTTCCTTTACCAAACTGAGGGCTTTCTACAAAATGTGCCTAGTAGCAAATAGTATGCTGAAAATTCTGTTGAATTAATGAATGAATGGATTTTTTCCAGAACATTTTCCTTCTGTGGCTCAAAGTACAAGTTGAAAAGGGACTCTCTCCCATCATCTCGTCCTGGCCAGATATCTATGTACCTCACCACCAATATTTAATTTAATATATTTTTCTAAAAAAATTTTTTTTAATTGATTCATGTGCCAGATTCAGCATTTCTGAGCAGATTTCTTACAATATTGTGTAAACAGCATTATCCAGTGGTAAGGAGCCAGACTGCCTCGGGTTAAATCTACTTCTGTTACCTATTAACTCTGTAATCTTGAAGATATTAAATATCTGCATTAGATCTAAGTTTCTTTATATGATAAAGTAGGGAAAATCATATAATGTACACAGGTGTAACACAGAGTAAAAAGTCAATACATGTTGCTTGTTATCCTGTTGTGCCTGTGCAGAGGTATTAAATAAGAAATAAGTGCTAAATAAAAACCCAAACTAGGCCTCCCTGTACCTCTAGTGAATGCACATAGGCACCCATAGAGATAAGAGTGTCAAGGACAGAGGCTCTATTTTTATTTTCATTGTAGCTCCAATGGAAATAAAAGTAGCATTCCACAGTAGCTGCTCAATTAATGTTTATTGATTTCAGAATTCTCTGTACATTCCTGCCTTGTACAGGTATGAATTCACACTGTGGTTCAGATCATCTTTTCCAAAGCATTCGCAGGGTGGCTATTGCCAGAGCAGGATGTGAGAAAACAGTTAATGTGGCTAATGTTGCAGGAAAAGCTAAGAAAGAGACATGAGAGGAAATGACGGTTCAATAGGGAACAAAATTCTATCAGTAATTTAATGGGAAATGATTCACAAATGCAATATTTACACACAAGTACAAAATGTTCTAGTACTTCAGAAAGTAAGGAAAGATCATTGAAAAACAAACAAACAACAAAATTGGCAGCTTCCAACATGGAATAAAATCTTCTAAAAATTAAATCACTTCTATTGTCAGAATTCTTTCACTGCAAACAAACTAGCATAAGGTTAACCAGAATGAGAAAGGAATTCTGTAGGTTTACATAAATGACAAATTTAGAGGTTTGTCTCGGGGACTTAAAGGTGTCTTCAGGTGGGTCTGTCCATCTATCTACCCCTTTCTCTATACTTCTGTCCACCCCTCTGACTCCTGGTCTATCTCTCCAGTTTGTATTTGTTAATATCTTTTATTCCAGGCAAGTTTCCTCCACTGGGCAGAGGAAGAAAGGGCAAAGCCACCAACAACTCCAGGCAAACAGCATCCCAGCTCACTGGCCAGAGGTGAAAGGTTTCTTTTCCTCTCAGGTCCATATGGGGTGGGAAGGGACGCTGGGGAAACTGGACGATGTCCATCCACCATATCCACAAAGGAAAACATGCTCAGAATTCTACTACAACACCCAAGCCTTCTGTTTTCACACTTCCTTCCAGCATTAGTGAATAACATTTATACAGTCTCCTGCTACATATTTTTGCTTCTGAGTTTTGTCACAAACACTTTATTTGTTCCTACAAAGGCTTTATAATGATTGTTTTAACTATGTAACATTTAATTAAGTCATTATGCAATAATTTACCTACATTTCCTTAATGATTAATATTTATGTAATTTCCACATACTGCTATATTTTAAAAATATAGTAATCATTCTCTTCTTACCTACAACGTGTTACTTTAAAACAGTATTTCCTTAAGATAATTCCCAGAAATTGATTTAATGAGTGACGTGGTAAGTACATTTCCAGAGATCTGATTCCTAAGGTACATTTCCAAATTCATGTTCAAAGAGCTGTAAAATTTTCAGTATCTCCGGAAATACATATGTGCTGCAGCATCGCCATATCCTTATCAGCATTGGAAATCATATGCAGAGAAACATTTATTAAATCGCAGTCCCTAAACATTCTCACTAGCTCACACTGCCTTTGTTAATCCTACTACATTTGTGGCCTTGACTTCCTGACCTAAGAAAACACATGAAATTGGGCTAGCATAGTTCCTAGCATACAATAGGCACTCGCTAAAAGTTAGGCAAATCTGCAACTGAATCTATTCCAATTTAGAATCTCCAACAGGTAGCTGTAACTTTTTAAACCTCCACAGGTGATTCTGACACAGGACCAGGGTTTGGGAACCAAATAAACCCACCAGCAACGAGGCATTAGTATTGATGTCAGCTGTTGGTAGCCCTTTCATTTAAATTGAAAACAGACTTTATGAGGGTTGTTTCCTTTTCCATTCCCCTCCCTCATGCTTCCACGTGGAGAGGCCCCACTGCGGGAATGTCCCCTCTCTGTCTGCCCACCTTCTGTGGATCAGCCCACAGCACCCACTCTGGCCACCGTCAGCAGCCCAATGGCTGCAACTAGGGACGTCCCCTCGGTGCCTGACCGAAGGACTCACAAGTCCCTCGGGCTAACAGATCCATTCCACATTCTCTAGAATCCACCGAAGCTGCGGCAAGTGTTACAGCGATTGGCCAGGGAAAGAACCCAGCAGCACACAGAGGGTCGGAGAATCAGCTCTTATTTCACCGAGGGGCTCAGAGGGGAATACCACCAAATTCTGAGCTCCGCTTCCTTATTTCTCTCCAGTCTTATACATTTCTTGGGTCACACATAACCAATCAACTATGAGCATGCAAAATTATCCAATTAACGGTGGGATTAGTAGGATCAGCGTATCTAATCAGCAGTGGATTTTGCCTCAGGGCCCCTGGGCGGGGGCTTTTCCCTATCACAGACTCCTAGGTCTCTCTCTCTCAACCTCCTAAAGTCCTCGGCCATGAAAAAAGTGCTTATTTCTTGGCTTCCCCCAACCCCACCACGAGTTGTCTACACATCTCATCTTTGTCGAGGGCAAGTTCACACATCCCCTCCTACGGTTCTAAGGCTCAGAGTCTGGCCCCTGGCAGACGTCAGGTAGGTATGTGACGAGCAAAGCGTCTGGGGAAAAGCTGACATCCACTCCACACCTACTTATGCCAAACACCACGTGAGACTTTTGTCTACCTCATTTCATGCTACCTGGGTCACACTCCTGTGAGGTAGGATTTAATATTCCCAATTTGCAGGCAAGAATAGAA